CCCCCCTTTTTTTTTTTTTTTTTTTTTTTTTTTCTTTTTTCCTTTTTTTTTTTTTTTGCATTAACAAGATCCTTCAATCCAACCCGCTTGGGGTTTTTAATATTCTAGGCGCAGCAGATCCGAGGCGAGAGCAGCTCTATACAGTAGGCACTTATAGCTGGATAATCAACATCGCGGGCAGACCCTCCGTGGGGGCAGAGCCCGTTTCGGGGTGGAGAAGGGGGTCTGCGTTCACAGGTGCTGCCTGGTGTTGGGGGGAGGCAACGGGGGGGCACACGCAGGGGTGGTCTCAGACCTGGGCAACACAAGGAGGGGCATTGGGCACCTTCTCTTGCCTCACCCATGGACTTTGCATAGGTGACAGCTTTGTTCCTGGCCCTGGTGGTCTTCCCCGGGCAGAGTGGTGGTGGTGGGGGTCCACCAAGGGGGGAGCAAGAGGGGGGACTGACCCCCGGGGAGGTGCTGGAAGCAGCTCTTCAGCATTGCTTTTTTGGTGGGATGGGTGACCCACCTGGATTAAGAGGTTGAAAAACAGAAGCCAACAAACCAACCAACAACAAAGCAAAAACAGAAACAACACACAAAAAAGATATTCACAAGACAAACAAGCAACAACAACAACAAAAAAAGAACCGCAACAGAACAGCAGAATAAAAAAGGAAAAAAAACCCACAACCAACAAAAAAAAGATAATAAATCAAACAAATGGGGATATCGGAAGAGAAAGACAGGTCTCGGTTTCTTCCAATGAGATGTAAATATATTCATTACAGTGTTATCCCACTGATGAAAACAGATAAACTTTTTCGTAGGTCAGAAACGTATTTTTCAATTAATTTTCATATTTATGAATAATAATAATAATAACCCACCGATTGCCAAGAAACTTGCAGGTGTAGAGGGAGGTGTACGAGATGCACTTATTTCCATGTATGTGCCTAGAAAGAAGTGTTTCGATCCCTTATTAAACTTTGCTGACAAGAACGGTACCGTGTTCCGAAGTGTTAACTGCCCAACCCGCGTTATATCGGGGGGAATGTTCTCTGTCCCCACGCTCCGGCTAAAAATACGGTGTATGATCGCGTCACCGAGCGCCGGGGGAAAAAAAATAAGGAAAAAGGGGGGGAAAAAATAAGGAAAAAAATATTAATAATAATATGTGAATGCGGAGAGAGGCTGGGGTCCCTCCTCAAGTTTCTGGTGACTTGTTCTTAACCGAAATATACTGATTTTAAACCGGCTGCAGCCACTTTTCTCCTGCCTTCTTGTCACCGCGGGCCCGGGCGCTGCCGCCGGGGGCTCCGCGACCCCCCGAGGTCCTCAGGGCTGGGGGGGTGGGGGGAATTTGGCAGGGTATCCCCCCCCTACATCCCCCCATCCATCCTTCTGCATCCCTCCGCGGCCCCTCCGAGCCCACCA